GGTTACGAGCCAGGTCGGTGTTTCCAGCGGAGCACAAAAGTGTTTTTGATGTTGAGGCTTGCAAAGGCTTCGCAGAATGGCCGCAGAGCACCCAGTTCGCACCCTTTGGCAAAGCGGAGACTGGGAAATGAGCAGTGGACTCCTCGGCTTGGCGTGAAGGTCTTGCCCATATCGAACTCCATTCGATCTTGCACTCTGTGGGCAGGGCCCTGGACTTAGCCACGTTGTGTTGCGGAGGCTTCTGCCAGCTGATGTTCATGTCCGGTATACCCCGACAGGCATATCTAGGTCTGTATAGATCGAACTGTTCATATTAGACAGATGCAGATCAATGGACATGAAAACAAATAAGCAAGCAGGTATATACGTTTGTCATATCCACACATGACTCACTGCAGCCTCTCCTCCCCTCCTTCATGCTGATCAGTTCGACAGTCGTGCCATCCCGCCACGGCATCGGAGATTCAACCGCAGGTTGGACTTGACATCGCTTCCTGGAAGGCAATAGCAACAACAACAATAATAATAGCAGTATTAATAGTAGTAATGATATTACTGGTACTGCTAATCATATCAAGAATAGACGATAGTAATAGCAACAAGCCCTGGTTGGGGTCTCGCTTCTGCCCCTGAACCCGGCCTCGCCTATGCCCCCCTGCTCTATTTAGGCTCATGCGTCACGATGTTCATGTGACAACATCACCGGGGTCGAACAAGCATACAGTGATGCCAATCGTCGCATTCGATGATCTGACAACACCAACTCATAGCAATAATAATAAGAACAATGATAATAATGATAATAATAAGAATAACAACGTAGAAGAATAGTTTGGAATCAACTAATCAGCAGCCATGCAAGGTCCTGTTCGAAGCTAAAGGTCAATCTAGTATTGCTGGCCCGTTCTGTGTTGTATGTTGTTGAAGAACCCGGCCTTCGTTTGTTGGGATCGTCGCCCAAAGACATTCTGGCAAGGGTAGTTGTGGAGGATAGTGCCATGGAATGTGCACAGCTCAAGTTTCTGCCGTGTAGCTGTGGTAACTGGAAGTGGCAAAAAGGACTACCAGCCGGGACAATACTGCAAGAGGCGTTGGGGGTCATCGGACCATGCCTGGGCTGGCACCCATCACAAGAAGGTCACCAGCAGCATGTCAAGGTATGACAACAAGTGGGGCCCGGACTTGGGATTCGGCCTGGTGCGCACTCGCCTTGTCGCAGTCAGTAAAGCATGGCATGAGTTCCAGCAGGAGCCCACCAAGAAGATGCCAGAAGGCACAAAATGGCACAAACCAGTCCTTGGAATGCAGATCCAAGGGTAGGGCAGCAGCACCCAAGAGGGTGCGTATGTCTCATCAAACATAGGTTGTGCAACCTGAAGTGAGAGGATAGCCACTTGATCCTAAGAGCGACAGTCTACTTTGGCGGTTCTGTCAAGTTACTGCCTGTGTCCGTAAACAGTTGTAGCTGTAGCTCAAGCCCAGTGGCCGAGGTGAGAGGGGCCGTCTCGATCCAGCAAGGTTCTGTCGAAGTGCTGTTTCGAGTTCTAGCCGATTGCCTAAACAACCAATGCAAGAACAGCAAACATGTCGCAAGCATCGTCCATGTCATGAGGCACCGACCACTATAAACAAGCTCTGCTTGTAGAGCGTGTTCGAGCCGTGGTGTTTGGAGACAGAGCGAGAGCGAGAGAGAGAGGGGCAACTCCCCACCATAAGCCTGGCGAAAGAAGGAGGGCGGAGGTCGCTCCCCCACCTCTACCTTTTGGAACAGAAATTGGGGGGCCCCTGTGGCCGAGGGGCCTGACCCGCCCGTTGCCCGAAAGAAGAAGAAAGAGAGAGGGTAATAGAGGGTAAAAGAGAGAGCGAGCGAGAGAGCGAGAGGGAGAGACAGCACACCACAAAGGCAAGGATCGCCAGTTATCCTCTCCGTTGCATTCTTTGTTAAGCATGTAAGTCTTACATCTTGCGCTGTTGCCTTCGTCTTGTATGCTGATTTTCCCAAAAGCCTCTCCGCAACAGTCGGGGGCGCTGACGCACGCGGGGCAAGGGGACTTCCCGCTTGTCCCTAAACCTGGCGAAAGACAGCGGCGACCTGAGCCCATCCGGCCAATATGGTGGCCGCTCGACTGAGCGGTGCACGGGCTGCTTGCACTCCATTCCACTCTGATCTGCGGTGAGCGTATACCGACAACGAGCACGCCGATAGCGTGGCTAGCAAGGTAAGTAAATGGTTAGACTCCAGGTATAAACTTAGTACTTGGGGTGGTAATTTTCGTTCTAGCGATGCCCGTTGTTGGAATGTGTTTCGATTCCTTCAAAGTAGAGCCAAGCTGCTGCTCCAAGCACCACGAAGCCTTAAAATTTTTGGCCCCGGCTCGCCACGAGCGCGGAGATTTTAGCTCATCTTCCACAGCTTCATCCTCAGCATGGCTGGCAGCGCTACTTTCTCGCGATGGTTAAGAGTCCACGGGAGCCGACGGGGTCGGGGGCTCGCCGCGGATTGGGTTGGCCTCAGTGTTCATCCCTCGGATGAGTTGGATTTTTGGGGGCCATTGAAGGGCTGGCAGTGTAGGTATTGCCGGTGGGTCATACGACTCATGGGGGTGAGAGTTCCTGGCTTCGCTTGGTTAAGGTGTGTTGTAGATCCTGGCTTTCTAGGCGGTGCAGCTCTGCTGAGGAGAGAGGAAAAGGCCAATGGCCTGAGGGTCGCTCGTCGACATTTAGGCCCAGCGTACAGAAAGAAAGACAGTGAAAGACAGAGTGGACGTGAGCGCCTGGTGGATGGCCCCGCCAGTGGAAAGAATAATTGTTCTTCGCAGTCAGAAGCTGAGCTGATCTGTGCAGCAGCTCAAGCCCAAGGCGCTTTGGGCTCCCTGACCATCCGACTCGCCTCGGACACCAGCCGGTGTCTAGGCGTCGGAGGCATCCTGCTAGCTCCTCAGACGGAGTTGCTTCTCTGCGAGTATTTTCTCGTTCGATGGCACAGCCGGTCAAAGTTTGGATGCGAGGTCTGAAGATGTTCCAAGCGGGACAGCCAGCAGTTTCATTCGTGCTCTCATCTTGGCACCCAGCTACTTCGTGATACCTCCAAACTGTAGGAGTCCAATCCATGTTTCGGACTGCTTGCCAGATCGCCGCACCCTGAGTTGGAACCAGCCCCGTCCCGAGATTCCTTCTGCCCGGTCCTTCAGGCGGCGCCAAAGCTCAGCGCTTCCTCGTGCCGGAGGACAAAGGAGAGATCAGGCAGCGGCAAGGAGCGAGGAGACCATAGCAGCTAAGAGCAGCTCATGCCAGGCTGGCAGAACACCCGACAAAGTGCCTCGACATTCGAGGCCGAGGAGGCGAGAGAGTGCAGACAACAAAAAGGGAAGCAAGCACTCGAGGTGGAGTTGCGCGCGGAACCCCAATTCAACTCGACGCATGTGCGGGAGCCTCAACGAGCATCACCTGTACTGGCAGCATGGTCCTCCAAGATGTCTCAGGCTTCGACGCCGGGAGTCCACCCAAATCAAAGGCAGCTCAACATCTCACATTCGCATGCTGCAGAAGCTGCCGTGCATGCTGCGTTCTTTTGTTTATCTGCTGAAGCACTCCTTCTACTTGATCCTTCTTCCCGGAGGTTCGTAATACCCGGCCGAAGCGGGCAGGTCCGATGGGCAAAGAACCCAAGCTGGTGCCTCGAAGATGTTGGATGAATGTGTTCGGAGGTTTCATGTGTCGTGAGGCAACGGAAAGATTCGGCATGCGATAGTCTTATTTTTTGATCCGAGGTGCCTTGCCGTTTCTGAAGAGACTCTGGTTCTGGACCTTTGTGATCAGCCAGGCAACATGTGAGCGGCGAGCGGCCAAACCATGATCAGATTACATGCTGAGCGGCTCTTTCGATGAAGGTTCAAATCAATTTTTGTTGCCTGCGCCGGCCTTCTCCCAGCTCTGCAGAGAAGGCCTGCAGTGGTGGCACCCTTCAGGATTTGGTGTGAAGTGGTGCTGGAGGTCTGGACATGGGCACTGCTGGCCCAGGCGGGATCATGCTTGCATGCTTCCCTCAACCCTTCCAAGCCAACGTCCGCAGCCCGGGTTTAAGGTGCTCCCTTACTGGCCGCCGCAGCGGCGCTGGCTGCAGCTGGGATGGAAGATACTCTGCTTTACAGAGGCGGTTTCTTCGAGCTTTGAAGCTATGCTGAGGCTCTTGCGATGAGAGGGCTGACAGTGCCGGCGATGGACTTGGAGGTTAACACATGCTTATGCAACTTCTGATGCATTGACTCGCAGAATCAGAAGTGGATGTTCCCTCCAGTGCGCTATGAGAGATGGGCCGGAGCTTTGGCCCTTCTCTGTGAAACCTGGAGGAAGAGGCAACAAGGCAGAGGCAGTATCCTTTGCTGCCCCGCTTAGATGCGGCGTCGCAGCAGAACCTCTGTTTCCACGAGCCACACGAGAGGATCGAGAGATCCCCTTCACAGTATGGAAAAATGCAACACTCGAGAGTTTGCTCCGATCCTCCCAGGATCGCGGCTGCGCGGGAGCCGAGCGGCTTTGTGGAGCGGCCCTTCGGAGCGCAGGACGAAACGCTCTGAGCGGAGCGTCTCAGTCTCGTGGAGTTGGAAGTGTGTTCTGCTAGGCAGAGAAGGGCTCGAGGTGATGTGGCAAGAGGCACAGGAAGGGCTTAAGGCTTAAGGAAGGTTGTGTCGGGTCGGGCATTTTTTGGCTGCTTCGCAACTTGCCCCATGGAACCATGTCCTGCAATGTCTTGCGTCTTTTTCTTGGTGTGCTCTTTCCAGACAGTCAAGACAGTCAGAGAGGCCGAAACAGTGATATCCGAAAGAGCGAAGTCCCAAGATCCCGGAAGAAGTGGGAGCGGACGTCTCGCTCAGTCGCGAACCCTGTGTCTTGTGGCGATCGCTGGGGGGCAACTCCCCCAACACAGCAACAGGTGATCCGAATTCCTAGTAGCATCACGCCGTATGGCGGTCTCTGCTCCTCGCAGATAATCGCCGCAGGCGGAGTCTGCCCTGCTCGCAGGCCTCACCTTGGAGGCGTGTGCGCGTGCGCCAGATGTCGCGACATCGATCGAAGGAAGTGGTGATTCGCCAGGAAGCACCGGCCCTGGAGACTTTTGCCCGGATGCCATGGCCTCTGCTGGGCACCCGGTGAGTTTCTGAAAAGGCAGGGCCGGCAAGGCGGGCATCTTGCGGTTTTCGAGGACAGAGCTGCTGGCTGCGGCCTCCAGGACAGGCCACGGTGCCGCCCAGCAGGCACAGGCCTGCTCCTGTGTGAGCTGATGCTCTATATTTGTAGGTTCGTCTTAGACATGGTTGAGACCTCTCAGGCAACGCCGGGGCGAGGCGGGGGTTAGGCACTGAGCAGCCCGGGCATCGCAGCAAGGGAGAGCTCCCGGAGGCGGAATCTGCGCCTGTGATCTGAGCCTATGGCCGGTCGAGGAGGCTCTTCGGCTCTTCGTTTCTCTGGGCCTCTGTTATTGTCGTCTGGGAAGGCACGAAGTGTTGCTGCTGCTCAGAAGGTCTTGGAGGAGCTACATTGGACATGGAACACAGGCGCAAACCGACGAATTCAGTGGGTTTGGACAGGAAATCAATGGTGGCCCGAAGACCTTGGATGCCTTGTCCCAGGCATCACTTGATCTCTGGGTACTGCAGCAGAATGGCTCCCACATGCAGGGTGCTTGGCGAGGCTTTGGAGTCTCCCAGCGCGAAGACCGCCTGCGGCGCCGCTTGGGGTGGCAGGCCAGTTTCTGCTTTGAGAGCCGCGAGCTCGGATGCGCTCGAAACATCCCAGCAGCGCACCTTCTCAGACTCGCTACTGCCGAGCAGCTCTTAAGCGAGCTGTGGGGGCTCCACCCGGACTTGCCCATCGAGGCGCGCAAGCCGCCGGTGCGCCACGAATGCTATTGTAAACATGTGCTACGCAGTTTTCAAGCCCCGGATCACCACACGAACTCGTGTGATTCTGCTGTTTGACATACTGAGTTGGGACGCTTATGTCATCTTTGAAGTGGGCAGGAAGCATGATTCGCGCAACGGAAAATGTTGCCCGCTGTTGCCCTCTTTTCGTGTGCACCATCGTGATTGGCTCATGC